ACCTAGAACCCATGACAATGTCTCCCATGAGTCCAAATAGAGGCCTGGAGCCCAGGACAATGACTCATGCAAATGTATTTCACGGATCTGTGCTGGGAAGGCCCAAAGCCAGCAGTGGAAGCTAGAAAATCAGTGCCAGCGGGGTGAAGGATCTGTGCCAAGATATGACACTCAAAATAAGGACCAGGGCTCCCCTGAAAGATAGCACAACCACCCTCAGGGACAAGGTCCCAAACTTCTCTGATGATGACAACAGCTGAGTTCATATCATGGGAGCCAGCATGACGAGCTCCTCCAGGAGAACCAACAGCCCCAAACAGCAGCACTGAGGACCCACAGTGCCACGCTCTACCTTGACACATCTCCTTTTATGCTGGCAGCAGTCCTCGGGCCATCCACATGCAGCACCACACTGATTTAATTCAGCTCGTGTTAAATTGACCACCAGTGTTTTATCCATAATAATTGGTTATTTCAATGCTGTTAGCCAATAAAATCCCTCTTTGGGCCAGAGTCAGGCCAGTGCTGTTGTATTAGAGACCTGGAGCATTGTGTGGAAGGGGAGGAAAGTGGGGGAGGGGAGGGAAGAGGAGGATAGGGGATGGGGACTAAGAGACAGAGAGAGGTGAGAGTTGATGCTACAGCTTTAATCCAGGTTCTGCAGGCTGGAAACCCAGCGGACTTCTTGTGTCACAATCTGGAGCAGGGTGCCTTCTGTCCTCTCTCTCAGGACCCTCACCTGATAAGACGAGGTCCACCCACACGAGGGTCAGTCAACTGTTTCCCTTAATCTGCTGCTAAACACACTGCTCAGCATCTTAGCTGAGGTTGGAGCTGCTAAAACTCTGCAAGCGCCCATGGGCTTGGACCAGGCCCCTGCGCTAAGCCCAACAGCCCAGACCTACACAGAGCTTGGCTGTGGTAACTAAGCTTGGCCTGGAGAGTCTCTGATTGTTCTGCAGGCCACCCACACCTGCACCTCGCCCACCTCAAGGCCTCATCTCAGAGGAAAGGGATCTACTGTCACTGGTTCCTAGGAAATAGATCTCATGCCAGGCCATGTCACTGGCCCACAGTGTCCCAGGAGCAAGTAGAGGACAGAGCCAGGTCACAGCGGAGTCCATCTGAGTGTTTCCAAGAGGTCAGGCTGCCCATGTGGTCAGTGTCTTTCTGAGCTCCTGCTCAGGGGAAGGCATCTGTATGGCCGTGGAAGCCAAGGCCACACTGCAACAGCTGCGAGCCAAGAAGTGTGAGACTGCGGCAGCCACCAGAAGCTGCGGAGAGGCGGCTATGCAACCTCGGGGAAACCAACCAGCTTAAAGCTGCCCTCACATCGACCGGAAACAGTTGTCCTCACCCACATGCTTGTAACATAGCTGCTGCTTCTCCGACATCACTTCCAGGCTTCAGGAAGGAAGGAGGAATGGACTGAGGGGCTACAGGGCCAGCCTCCCGCACCCCCAGTGAGGTATCCTCTGGCTACTGGTCATGAGTGGGCCGGGCAGCAGCCCCTGCGCTCCCAGCTACACAGTCATGGCCCCAAGGCCCTGGAAAACTGATTTCCTCAGCTTTCTCAGCCTCTCCGCTGCCCTCACCACCAAATATTTGTCTGAGACCTGAGGGAGGAGGAAACCGGTTTTGGGATGTGTTTGAGCAGGAGCCTTGGAGTCTGCTTCCCCGCTTGGGGGGGAGGGGCTCTTCCTGCTTCCCTAACCTGGCCCTGTGGAGACCTGGAGGCTCACAGCCGTTCCCCAGGCTGCTGCACCACCTGGACCTCTGGGTCTCCAGCTGGGCGGGACAGAGCAGGGAAGAGGCGGCAGGGAGGAAGGCTGGGCCCTTGCTGGCTGGGACCTATACCTGGGGAGTGACCTGTGTGATAGCTCACACCCCGGAATAAAACCCAAGGAAGCAAGAAATTAAAATTTGGGGAGCAAAGGCTTTATTTTAGGCAAGGGCTGGCGACACAATCCCCGGGAGCCAATTTGGAGACTGCGCACCTAACAGCTAAAAGTCAGGGCTTTTATCTTGTAAAACTGCAAACAGCTGCTGGTCTCACAATGCAAGGAGGGGGGCTGGGGCGCACTACAGAACAGGAACGGATTATATTGAGAAGAGCAAAGTTCAGATAAGGGTTGGGCTAACCAGTCTCCTGCATACAAGCAAGTTTAGATTGGGCAAACATCTTCTTTCCCTCAGCAGAGAATAGAGAAGCCTAGCAGTAATTAACAACCCCTGTTAGCTTATTTTAGCACCACATCTGTTATTTGTAGAGGGCAACAATGGTTAACATATCAGTTAGGTAAGATTTTACAATTTTTACAGAGGAGAGCATTTCTCACAGAACAGCACATTTTATTACAGATAGCCGGATGAGGGGTAGGGGAGGGGGTTGCAGGAAACTGATACCTAAGGCTTTTACAGCTTTCTCGGGAAATTGAAACTTAACCTAGAAAGATAGGAAGGGAGGGAGGGGGCTGAGCAGCGCATACAGAACAGGAATGAGGCACAATGGTTAGAACCAGGCTATAACAACCTGGAGCGTGGGGAGGACAGAGGCCCGAGAGGCCTGGTGCCAGGGCACTTCGGAGAGGGACAGTGCAGTCCACCGTGGAAGTGTCTCAGGGTGGAAAAGGCCCGGGGAGGCCCCAAAGAATGGCCCACGTGCACTTCGCAGCTGCAGGGGGACCCTCACAGGGTGCTGGTGCTGCTGCTTCTCACCAGGTCCGGGCTCCAGCTGACCTAGATGGGCGAGAGCAAAGCTCACAGCGTTTCTACCTGGGAGGGGGTGGGGCAGATTTGGGACAGGGTCTCACTGTGTAGCGCAAGCTGGCCTCAAACTCTCAGCAATGTTCCTCCTCAGCCTCTTTTTTTTTTTTTTTTTCATTTTTATCGGTACCAGGGATCGAACTCACGACTGCCTGCTTGCAAGGCAGGCACTTATTCCGCTGAGCTAAATCCCAGCCCCCCTCCTCAGCCTCTTGAACACTGGGTTCACAGCATGCGCCAACACACCTGGCAGGGTTTGCCTTTTGGAGGCCCTTTTGGCAGCTGGCATGAGTGATGGATGAGGCACTGAGGCAGGAGGCCCAGATGCCAGGGTCTGATCTTCCAGCATGCCCACCATGCATCTCCCACCCAGCGCTCTGGGGAGTAACTGGAGCCAGACACCAGGGGCCCGGCATCTCCAGACTCCAGAGGACAGAGATGTGTCTTTCAGGGAGGCCGGGCCAGAGGAGCCTGCCTGCCGCACTGCATGCCAAAGCTTTCTCAAAAATGTCCAGCTCTCCCTGGGTCAGCCTCACTGGAGACCTTTCTGGCCTCCCCAGTGGCTTGGTGTTGGGGTGGCCACGTCAGAAGTGAGGGAACAACATCCCACATCCTGCCCATTCTTGAAGTGAGGACCTGAATGCTGGTTAACAAGCAGGTATCTTGTCACTCCGATTTGCTGTCTGGCCTTTTGGTACTGGGCACAAAGGTCCCTGTGCCCAGGTACCTGGACACCAGACTGGTAGCTAGGGACAGCAGGTACCAGAGCTCTGGCCGTCAGGCTGGAAACCCTGCCCAGCACACAGCCCAGCAAGAGCGCAGAGCTGCTTCTTCCTCAGGCTCCTGGTTTCGGTGGCCTGCGGGGACAGTCGCAGGTGGTTCTGGTGAGAGCTCTCTGCCCTGCAGTACCTTCCCTGTGTCTGCCCTGCAGCCAACCAGAGCCCCGTCCCCAGCTCCCTTTGAGCCTCTGGCATTGGGAAAATCCACTCCAGCACCCCACCCAGTTCTGCCACCCTGTACTGCTTCCTGGTCCCCAGACCCCATGGCATCTCACTGCTGGGCCCAGGGACCCTGGGTGCCCACACTTGGAGGATGGGGAGGAAAACGGCTCCCAGGTGTCCAGGGACAGAGCTGTGACTCACAAGCTCCTGTGGGGAAGGATCCGGCTTTGGAGGTCAGTGTAAGCCCGACCTGGTCACCTTTTAATACAGTACAGGCTGTCTGGGAAATGAGCTCCTGCCCTGCTCCAGTGGGTGGGTCAGAGGGCAAAGGTCGAGCAGGTCATGCACTTTGACCTGGCATTTCTGCCGGGTCCACTCTACCAGCACCAAGAGGAGACCCTAAATGGGCCACTGTGGTTTCTGCTAGTGCTTGAAAGCAAAAACTTGGGAAAAGACCCATTTCTAACTAAATTCTCTGCTAAAGAGGAAGTGTGGGGATCTCCAACGGGAATCATCACTGGCTGCTATGGACCCTCAGGGCCACCAGTCCCCACTTCCCCCGAGGCAGGCCCCTGGAGGCCACACCCCACCTGTCCACATTCCCCAGTGAGGTCTCTGGGACCATTTAAAAGTATCAGAGGCCAGGATGTAGCTCAGTGGCACAGTACCTGCCTGGCAAGGGCAAGATCATGAATTTAATAAATAATAAAAAATACCAGTGCGGAGAGTCCTGAAACGAATTAAACTAGAACCGGCATTTGACCCGATGTGTACTTAGGGAAATGAAGGCAGCAGACTGGAGAGGCCTAAATGGGGCCCCACGGCTGGTTAACCTCCCTCCATGCTTTTTCGGTAGAGGCCCCAGGGACCCTGGGGAGCTGGGCTACTGACTGGAGGACAGCACTCTGGGAGAGGCTGGGGCAGGAGTGGAACCCAGAACCTGGCCCTGCAAGCCCTACAAGGCTGTTCCTGCTGGGGCGAGGACTGGAGGGGTCAGCTGCTCCTTCAAGTAAGCAGGCTGGTCTGAAGAGGGGTGACCCGTGCCCCCCACAACACATCATCCCCTGAGCAGACATTTCCTCAGCCCCAGCCTTGGATGCCTGCCCATTGTGAGCCCAAGGAGAGGCCAGCCAGCTCACTCATGACTCACTTAGCAAACCCTCAGCAAGTCCACTCATGCAGAGACACTACACTCTCTCCCCCGAGGGGAGGACCCTGTGACTCAGCTGTGACCCCCACACAGGCAGGAATGCAGTGTGGCTCTGAGGAGGCTGAGGCTGGGGAAAGCTGGCCAGTCCCACCCTCTGTGTCAACAGGGCTGGCCTCATAAAGCCGCAGGGGCCGCCCGGACCACATTTCCTCCTCAGCCCAGCCAGGCAGCAGAGCCCCACCATGACGGAGCTGGAGACGGCCATGGGCCTGGTCATCAACGTCTTCGCCCGCTATGCGGCCGGGGAGGGCAGCAAGCAGAGCCTGACCAAGAGCGAGCTGAAGGTGCTGATGGAGAAGGAGCTTCCGGGCTTCCTGCAGGTGAGGCTCAGCTGGGACGGGGACGGACAGGGATCAAGCTGAGTCCCAGCAGATCTGTACCCTGGCATCCCCCGCAGGGCCTGCTGGGTGTGGGCAGAATGGAGTGCAAGGCACCCTGAGCCATCTGGTGGCACCGTCCCTCTCCAGGGCTGCTGTCCACTTCCTGCTGCCTGCTGCCCAGGCCCTTTGTTGCCGGTATTAGTGTGAACAGCAGGAATAGGACAGGGAGGACCCACGGTAGCAATGCTGGTCCAGAGCCAGCAGCCTCTGTGGGGACCTCCGAGAAGGCAGGGACTCACAGGCCTGGAGCTCGGTCTCTAAGGAGCAGCCTGCCTCGCCCTGGAGCCTGGCAGGTCTGAACAGAGGCCTGCCCTGTCCTTTCCGGATCCAGATCCTTCCGGCCCCACCTGCCTCCCCTCCCCCTCCCTTCCCCTCCTGCTCGGCCCCTGCCCTGCCCCTACCTACCCCTCCCCGCCACTGCTCTATCACCTGTGCTCCCAGGTCTCTGAGCACCGCCTGTGGGTAACAGCGAAGCCCCACCACTCAGCCCGAAGAAGCCTTTCAGGGACCCACAGCACCTCAGAACGCTGGGGTTCTGGTTACCAAATATGAATGCAGGGAAGACATTTTTCTTTTTGAGACAGGGTCTCACTATGTAGTTTCTCCTGCCTCGGCCTTTCAAAGGCTGGGATTATAGGCATGGACTCCCAGCCTGGCTCCTTTTGTTTTGAGACAAAGTCTTGCCTGAGCCTCCTGCTTCAGCCTCCAAAAGGGCTGGGATTATAGGGGTGCACCACCACCCCAGTCACCATTTGCTATTGTTTGGGATTTGATGTTAACACATGAATTCTTTTTTTTTGTCTTTTTCCTTTTTATTGGTACCAGGGATTGAGCTCACGACTGCCTGCTTGCAAGGCAGGCGCTTATGCTGCTGAGCTAAATTCCCAGCCCCTAACACATGAATTCTTTTTTTTTTTTTTTTTGTCTTTTTCCTTTTTTATCGGAAACGGGGATCGAACTCACGACCACACACCTGCAGGGCAGGTGCTTATGCCACTGAGCTAAATCCCCAGCCCCAACACATGAATTCTTAAACCCATGCTCATCGGACACACCCTCTCCAGATGGGAATTTGCCCATGGGGTGTGAGTGTCTTGATAAGCATCTAATTTGAGGATTTAATACCAAGACATTAGGTCAGTGACAGCCATGCAGGTGTTGGGGGAGGGGAGAGGTTTTTTTTTGTTTTGTTTTGTTTTGAGAAAGGGTCAAGTTTTGTAGCCCATTGGCCTCAAATTCCAGGCCATCCTCCTGCCTCAGCCTCCTGAGTCCTGAGATCACAGGCATGATTGCCACTCCCGAGTTGCAGAGAACAGTTTTGAGGACCAGCGCCCAAGTCAAGGAGTCTCTAAGCTGGGTTCTGTCAGAATCCCCTGGGGCCACTGCGGTGCCCTTTTCCAGCCCTGCCTCCTAGTGACCCTGAAGCCTGGCAGGGTCACAGAAAGCCCCAGAGCCACATCTCCCTGGGAGTGGGGAGCCCAGCTCAGCACAGCCCAGGCCAGGCTGCCCGCACGGGCCTGGCTGTAGGCAGTGGCAGGCTGGTCTGGTGCTGATTCCCAGTGCCCCTCACTACCAAGCTCACCCACTGTGGGGAACACCTTGGGGTACACAGCCGCAGCCCCAAGCACAGGCGGCCCTCCAGTGTCCAGCTCGGCGCCCAGCGCCCCCTGCTGCCAATGAGTGGAGCTGCACTCTGGTGAGGCCTGGATTCCGGGCGATGGCCAGGAGCCCCAGGCTTTCAGGGAGCTCAAGGGCCTGAGCCTCTCCAAGAAGACTGAGTGGCCCACAGACAGGAAGAGCAAGCTTTCTGCATTCCCTCCAAGCCTGGGGTCACCCCTCCTCCCCGTGTGACCCCTGGCAGGTCCCTGGGGCCCTCGGAGCCTGGCCCTGAGCCTGTGACAGCAGCACAGGCCAGTCCCAGGCTGTGTCCCTCTAGCCGCGGGGCCTGGCGGAGGCTGAGTCCTGCCTGACATCATTGCTGCTGACCCCGGGCCTCTCTCTAGAGTGCAAAGGACAAGGACACTGTGGACAAGCTGCTCAAGGACCTGGACGCCAACGGAGACGCTGAGGTGGACTTCAACGAGTTCATCGTGTTTGTGGCTGCACTCACGTCTGCCTGTCACAGCTACTTCGTGAAGGCAGGGCCTGTGTGAGGCCAGGGCTCAGACCCCTGGCCCGGCGCCCTGCTGCTGATTCTGTGACGTCCCCTGATGAATAAACACCTGTGGAATGACCCCAGTCTCAGAGGCATTGTTCATCTCCTTCCCATCTCGGGGTGCAGCTGGCATTGCCACAGCTACCCCAGTCCCTGCCTCCTGTCTGCCGTGCGGTGACATGTGCGCCCCAAACCCTGTGTCACTGAGACAGTGAAGCCTGGTCTGTGACCTGCTCCGCACACGTCTGTGGATGGTGGCAGAGGGCCTCTTTCTTCCCTGCCTCCCCATCTCCCTGCCCTGTGAGCTGTCTTCTACTTTGCTTTGTGTTAATGCTGAGGGTCTTCCCTGGAAGAGTGCCAGCGGGATCATTGGGTCCTGGGTGTGTGCTTCATTTTCATGACCTCCCCAGCCGCCGTGAGGTTCACCAGCTGAATTCCTTATTCCGTTACTCACCGCCTGCTGGGCAGAGGGAGGGATGGCTCAGGGTCACCCCGGAAGGTCCACTCCTGCCCTCCCCAGGGCAGAGCCCAGGCCCCATCCCTGGGAAGTCACCAGCCAGTAACAGCTGCTGCAGGGGACAGAAGGGATCCCCAGGGATACACAGACTCCCACCCACACTTTGAGTCACAGGCTCCTCTGTCGACCCATCTGTCCCAGGCCGCACCAGGTTTCTAACAGTAACACATCATATGATACAATAGGACTAGGACTTCTGCTACAGAAGACACGAGGTGGGCAGATGTGAGAGGGATGAACGGCAGCCAGGGATTAGACCGGCCACTCCCCCACTCCACAGTCTTATGGCACGAATTTCAGGAAGCCACCAAAGTTAGTCAAGGAGGTGGCCGGCACGAGGTCAGTAACCAGACCTGGTTGGGGCTCCTGGTTTGTTCTTCTGTTTTTGTCCCAAATGCTGGGGTTACAGGTGTGTGCCACCACACCCAGTGAGAATTCTTAAACATGGTGAAAACTCATAACTTTTAAAAATATATATATTTTATTCATAGATAAAAAGAAAGAACAAGAAAAAGTACAACAATATTTGACAATACATCAGGGGTAACAATGGTACATGCATTAAATCTCCTGACTTCATAGTTACCTTTGTAACCGTTTCGGAGAGGCAGCGGTGCCCCCCACCCCTAGAACTCTATCTTGTCAATCAAAACCCTAAAGCTCCCTTCCCTCCAGTCCTGAGTTGACCCCTATTTTACTTTTTGTCCTGTGAACCTGTCCTCTAGGAATCTCCTGTGGGTGGAGGCATGGAATCTGTCCTTTGTGACTGGCCTATTTCATTCAGCATAGTATCTCCAGACCCCCAGGCCCATCTGTATTGCAACAGGGATCAAAATTCCCTTCCTTTTTTGGCTGAATAACATTCCACTGTGTGCGTAGGCCTCATTTGTTGATCCATGTGTCTGTTTTCAAACCAAATATTTAACCCGCTACATATTCCTCCCTTGTCCTGCCTGGGAAAACAAGTAGCTCTCTTTTCCCACTTGAACCTCTAGATGGCTGCCTTTCTGATGTCTTCCAGCTGGGCAGCCACCTCCTGAGACCCAGGCTCTTCCGGGCCGCTGGCGCCACCTGCTGCTGCTCTACAGAACTGCTCCTCGGGCCGCGCTCTGGAGGAGGCCAGAATGAGCTGGGGCTGCAGGCAGCTCTGTGCTTGGACAGGGCGGGAGGACTCTTCCCCAGAGTCCCTTGCTCGTGAGGTGGTCAAGGAGAAGCTGGTTCCCACTAGCTTTTGGACAGAGCCTTCAGTTCCTTGCTAATGGGCTTCTCCATCAAGCTGGTTATGCAGAAAGCAGCTGGTTTTCCCTGGAGCAGGTGCTTGGAGAGAAGGGAGTACCCTGCTACCTCTATGAACTGGTCTTCGAGTCACAAACGACCATATCATCCTTCCCTAAGCAAACTGCTAAGCCCGGTACACACTCGACAGGAGGGAAAAACCGAGTAGAGATAAAGGGGGTGGAGATCACCGGGATCCTCCTGGAGGCCAGCTGGCAGCCAGTCTCCTCTCTGACCACCAGGGCTTTGGTCCTCCGAATCGCAAGCCACACTTGCTCCTATCCAAGCTTCCCAAAGATTATTTTATTTCATTTTATTTACTTTTGGTACCGAGGATCGAACTCATGACCTCAAGCTTGCAAGGCAGGCACTTGTGCAGCAGAGCTAAATCCCCGGCCCCCAAAGGTTATTTTAAAAAATAACACGTGTAGTTTTATGTATTAAAATGCTTTTGAAGCATCAACTTCAAGTATAGAATTTGGTTCCCTAGTTAGGTCTCATCAGACACAGATGAGGTTCCCCAGCACAGTCCCTTAAATTCAGCTCCTAGAGTGCAATTCTTCTTGACCTGTAGACCTCGGAAACTAAACAAGTTATCTGTCCCACGCATCCACCGGACACTTGTGGCCAGCTGTAGAGTAACTGATACAGATGTTCTTGTTTTCAGAATTAGGGGAAATGGGAAGTAGAAAGAACTCACTGGTCCAAAGGAATGCTGGGATCCAATCTCTGGGCTTAGGAATAATTCTCTTCACTTCCACTTTCTGGGATCTTGGTTCCGGATCATACTTCTATATTAGCACTCCACCACTATGCAGCAAAATACCCTAGAAAAGCAACCTAAGGACATAATTTTTTTTCTTATGGTTACATAGGTTTCAGTTCATGGTCAGTTGATTCCATTAATTTTAGGCTTGTGTTGAGGTGGACATGGTGGAAGGGCATGGTGGAAGAAAACCACTCATCCCATGGCAACTAGGAAGCAGAGAGTGTGAAAGAGCTAGAGAGGAAGGGGCTAAGGACAAGACTGACCCTTGGAAAGCACGCTGTCAGTGACCTTCCTATACCGATTAGGCCCCATCTCCTTATAGCTTAATAAAGTTAGGACCCTCACCAGCCAATCAGTCCATCAAAGCCCATCAGATGACAGCCAGGGCTTCACCAGGATGAACCTTTTCGGAGACACTGTGGATCCTAACTTAACACTTCCTTTTTCATGAAAGGCATTTGTTGATGGGTTATTTTCTCAGTCTACTTTTGTAGAGGTTTGAGGAGTCTAAGTGGAGAGTGGCAGCACACACCTATAGCCCCAGCACTCAGGAGGCAGAAACAGGAGGATCCTTGCAAATTTGAGGCCAGCCTGGGCCACATAGTGAGATCCTGTCTCAAAAAAAAAAAAAAAAAAAAAAAAAAAAAAGAATAAATGAAAGAGAGAAAGAAAGAATTTGAGGAGCCTGAAGGCCTTTCCTTTCGTACCGTGTGTCTCTTTTAGTGCACACTGCAGTGTTTGTGCCAATATAGTTATCTTTATTTTTAACATAGTTATATTTATTTTTATCGGTAACAGGGATCGAACTCACAACCGCCTGTTTGCAAGGTAGGTGCTTATGCCGCTGAACTAAATCCCCAACCCAAATATAGTTATCTTTAAAACTTAGTTTTCTGTCCATTTCTTTGAGGGTTCATTCAATTGGCCTAATTGTGTGGCATTAGGGGACATGGCTTTTGATGCTTCTGAAATTTTCTTTTTTCTTCAAAAATTTTCAAGGATTTTACCTCAACCTTCATCTTCACGTATTTACAAGTACCTTGGATATGATTCTAGCTTAGATGGTATTTTGAAATTTTCATCATTTGCAGTCTGAAGAAGCTGCGAGTTTTCAAAGTCACCAGGATCATACCTGGGTTTGGTCTGCTTTTTTTGCCCTTTGGCAAAAAACGGAGGGCAAGAAACGGAGAGGCAACGAGTCCTGCATAGGTGGGTACCATGCTCTTTATCTTGATCTAGACAAGGGTTGCATGGCTATGTAAAAAAGCATATGCACACCTAGGGCTTATGTACTTTATTGGATTTCTATTACACTTTTTTCAGAGATCCGTGCCCCAGCGTAGGAACAGGCAAACAATCGCTTGCCCGAACACGCTGCGGGACCGGAAACAGGGGAAGCGCATGCGCCTGCGCGCGGCGGCCGGAAGCGGACGGTCTGGGAGCGGAAGCTCTACGCACCCAGGGCGGCAGGTGCGCACCTGCGTCGGAAGCGGGGTGTGCGCGGGCGGGGCCGCGGGTGCACGGCGCCGGAAGCGGAGCTATGGACGGTCGCTTGGAGGGCGGAGGGCCGCCGCTCGAGTTGTCGGCGGACGAGGCCGAACCGCAGGCCGCTGCGTGGAGCGGGGACAGTGGCAACGTGTCGCAGAGCCACAGCAGCGCCTCGGGGCCATGGGAGGACGAGGGCGCCGAGGACGGCGCTCCCGGCCGCGACCTGCCGTTGCTGCGCCGTGCCGCCGCGGGCTACGCCGCCTGCTTGCTGCCCGGGCCCGGGGCGCGGCCCGAGGTGGAGGCCCTGGATGCCAGCCTCGAAGACCTTCTGGCCAGGGTGGATGAGTTCGTGGGCATGCTGGAGATGATTCGCGGCGACTCGTCGCACGTCGTCAGCGAGGGCGTGCCCCGCATCCACGCGCGAGCCGCGGAGATGAGGCGCATCTACGGCCGCATCGACAAGCTGGAGGCCTTCGTGCGCATGGTGGGCGGCCGCGTGGCTCGCATGGAGGAGCAGGTGGCCAGAGCCGAGGCCGAGCTGGGGGCCTTGCCCCGGGCCTTCCGGAAGCTGCTGCACACCTTCAGCGCGCCCGGACTGTTCGCCAGGTCCCCCGCGCGGACCCCGCACCCTGGCTACGAGCCGCCGGTGCTGTTCCGGACCGAAGACCACTTCCCGTGCTGCGGCGACCGGCCCCCGCTCTGACCGGCCGGCGCCAGGCGCGGGGGACCCCAGGGGAGCTCTCAGCGCACTGTGAATTAAAGTCCTCCCGAGGCACTTGTGCTTTGGAGTACGGCATTTTCAAAATTGATTTTCTTAGCACTGTCTCTCTCAGTGTGTTGATTATTTCACGTAGAAAGTAGAGACTCGCTTATGTCTTCCAGTTCCACTCGGAAAGCTGCGTGAATGGTGCACGCACCTATGCCTCAGCTACGAGGATTACTTGAGCCCCAGGAGTTCGAGTCCAAGCTGGACAAAGTTGTTAACATCTGTCTCCAAAAGTACAGACGACAAAGATTCAGTGGAAGCCAAGGTGGTCGTGGGGGACTGGGGAGCAAAATGAATGAGGTTACCTGTATATTGTGCTGCAACTCTTTTATTTTTATGAATTTTACTACTTAACTAACAGTATTACCCTTTCAGGATTTATATATTTATATAGCCGCGAAAAAAATGAACCATTAAAGCCTTATTACTATTCAATCCTAATAGTGATTCGTTTTTCTATCTCCTATCTTTAGTAGAGATGGTACCTTATTTAGTGTTTAACTTTACATAGCATACATTGTTTGTTTGTTTTTTTCTTTTTTTTTTCTCATTTTCACAGGAGTAGAACATTGTTTTTTAATTTTACCCCAAACATACATTGTATCTTTCTTTTCTTTAGAATGTTTTACTATGTAATTCAAGTTGGTCTTAAACTCACTGTGTTGTGAGGCTGGGGATTTAGCTCAGCAGCATAAGTGCCTGCCTTGCAAGTGTGCTGTCCTGAGTTTGATCCCCGGTACCGATAAGAACAACAAAAAACAAAACAAAAAAAACCTCACTGTGTTGTCCCAGGCTGGTCTCAAACTCAGAGATCCTCCTGCCTCAGCTTCCCTGTGCCCAGCTCACAGCATGCACTGTAAGTGGAAAAAATTAAGACAGTTTTTGAGGAAATACATTGTTTCTTTGCAATGAAGTCTGAAGTTGTGTTTGTAAGACTGACCACAGCTTCCATTTATTCATAACAAGTCCATATATATATGATTGTCAGTGTTTGATTTGTAATTTAAGCATCAAACTTTTTAATTTCATAGGAAAGTTTTCCTTTTGAAAGTTTATTTATTCCCCTTATTTGAAAAGGGAGCATATTCCTCATGATTTTAGTGGTGGGAATAAAAGAAAAGTGGGTTGGGAGTACCTCCTTTGGAAAAAAGCTGAAGGATGCCAGGCACGGGGGTACATTCCCATAATCTCAGCTATTTGGGAGGCTGAGGCAGAAAGATGGTAAATTCAAGACCAAGCTGGAGAATTTAGTCAGAGCCTGTCCAAAAAAAAAGAACAGGTTAGTGGTAGAAGCCTGGTAAGACCTTGGAGTCAATCCCGGTATCACTGAGAAGAAAAGGCTAACATGGAAACTCGCCTTAGCTGCTGTTCCCTAGACTGTATTCCTTTCACACGCGTGTGCCTGAGTGGTGTACGCTGTCAGTGTGCAGCCCTCCAAGGTCCCTTGCAGATGTGAGAGATGTTGCTGTGTTCAGGTCGGTTTTACAGGGCCGTCGTCCCAGACACCGGGCTTCAAATAAGCACTCGGGTTAGGTGGTTTTATATCAGTCCCTGTCTTTCAAGTTGAAGGAAGAGAGCGAATTCTCGCTTATTCTGTGTATTACAAACATTGTCCCAACACAGTCTTGCCCATGGCTTTCGTGGACCGTCAGTTCATTTTTTGGTACAGGTTTTCAGTGTTCAGGCTGGCCTCAAACTTGTGGCAGTCCTCCTGCCTCAGCCTCCCAAGTGCATTTCCATGCCCAGTTCATGGAGTTTCTATGCCATACATTTATGTTTGTCCAAGTGCTTTTAAAAATAAAAGGTTTTTTGGTGCCGGCTCTGGTGGGACAGGCATTGCACCTCTGAGCCACGTCCCCAGCTTCTTCCCCAAGTGATTGCTAAATTTAGAAGCTGAGAGAACAGGAAACCTACATTTACTATTTAGCAACTTCTGGGAACTACTGTAAGTAATTAGTACACTCCTTCGATGTTCAGAGAATGTGAAAATGTCCTACATAAAGCTTTTGCTAAAACAATTCACAGTTTTCTTTTTTAAGTTTCGAGACAAGGTCTTGTGCAGAACAGTCTGGATCACTCGGTGACTACGCCATGAGACCTGTCTGCTCACACAGCGCACACCCGCCCACCCTTCTGAGTGTCACCTCGGAGTGTCATCTGGGGTGACCGTCGCCATCGACCTCCCAAGGTGCTATCCAAGGGTGGGGGTCTCCGAGCCCAGCCTCCTGACGTGCTGGGGCTCTTGTTGAGCTCCGTGGCCACAGCAACAGGAGGCAGTCGACCCAGTGCACGGTAATAAAGCTCAGGACAAAGCATGGCTCTGCCTGTCGCCCCCCCATGCCCTAGCAGCGAGGTGCAGGGAGTACACGTCTGTTCAGGGACCAGAGACCTCCTTGTGGACACGGGTAGTCAGGACTCCATCAGCCCGAGGACAGGGCTGCAAAGTGAGCTCCGCCTGGCTTCGGAGACCCCAGATCTCCCAGGGAACCAAGCTCCTGGGACCCTCAGGCCCTGTGGTCCTGCAGTGCTGTGCACGGCCACTGGGGGGCAGCGTGGCACCACGGGTGACTGGTGTCGGGCTGCACCCCGCGCCTAGCGCCCCCCAAAACCCTGCGTTGCTAACGCAAACAGCCGGTGCCGGTGCCGCGGCTGGAGCTCAGGGCTGCGCTGGGCTCTGACAGCCGCTACCTTGGATTTGGTAATTTTATTTAATTTTTTTTATTTTTTTTATTTTTTTTTTTTTTTTGGTCTTTTTCGTTTTTATCAGTACCGGGGATCGAACTCACGACTGCCTGCTTGCAAGGCAGGCGCTTATGCCGCTGAGCTAAATCCCCAGCCCCGGATTTGGTAATTTTAAATCTTTGTTCCACAGACAGCTATGGGGGTGCCGCCTGTCATCCCGGTACTCTGGGAGGCCAAGGCAGGAGGATCGAAAGTGCGAGCTCAACGCCCAACAGGAATGGGACCTTGTCTCAAAATGTAAGGATAAAAATAAAAAAGAGACATATGGAGACATATCCCAGTGCAAAGGCCCTGGGTTCACTCCTCAGTATTGCCGACAAGTAAACAACAGTGATGTTTGTTTCCACTCTGGGGAGGGCAGAGTGGATCCCTGTGGGCCTGGCCACTCAGGTGGCTGCAGGGCGGGCAGCGGGGCCGGTTCTGCTGGGCTTGGCGGCCTCCTGCTGTCCCCTTGCACAGCTTTCTCAGGGTCTGCTTGGGGCCGTGAGCTGCACTTTACAATGGGGCATGGCAGCGCAACCCTGTCCTTTTAGTACTCAGGAGGCTGAGGCAGGAGGATCTTGGAGAGTTTAAGACCAGCGTGGGCTACAAAGTGAGCTCAAGGCCAGCCTGAACTGCATAAGGAGACTCCATCTCAAAAAAGACAAAAAAAAAGAGAATTGATCCACAGAATTATTGCTCTCCAGATTTGTAGTTGACTTTTCTTTTCTGCTGTTTGTTGAAATAGGGTTTTGCAGTGTAATCTTGGCTGGCCTTACAATCACTGTGGAATCCAAGCTGGCCTCAAGCTCCTGGTAACCCTCATGCCTCAGCCTACCTAGTGCACTACCACACCTGACCCTAACATATATTTCTCAATCACTCCATCTCTCCTGTTTGCCTCTGAGCCCTCCAGAGCTGCAGCAGGATGGGTTCCTCTCCCAGGTACCTACAGCCTATAACCCTAGGCAAACACCATTGTGCAATATGTGTTGCTCAACTATGCCAAAAATCACCCACATGACCTCAGGACCTTTGCACCTGCTGCTCCCCTGGGGCCTGGAATTCTAACCCCACCCCCACATATAACAAGCTGTCCTCCATGTAGATCCTTCTGGTCTGGGGGTGAATAATCCCTTCCCAGCTGGGCTGCCCTGCTGCCCCCATCTGGCACCCACACAATTCCCTCCTAGGCCCACATCAGCAGTTATGTGCCTGTTGCCATGACAGTGGGGTCCCCTAAGCAGAACAGGTCCTGCTCCACTGATGTAAAGAGGGCACTGAGCTCCCAGTACTCTGGTCTACACAGAAATATCCTGTCTCAAAACCAAAATAGCAAGATGCGGTGGCACACGCCTATAATCCTAGCATTTGGGAGCTGAGGCAAGAGGATCACTGTGAGTATAAAGCCAACCTGGGCTACATAGTAAGTTCAGGGCCAGCTTGAATTACATGGGGAGATCCTGCCTCAAAAAACAAAATACAAAACAAAAACCATAAAATATAAACGTCTGAGAGTGTAGCCCTGTGGTTCAATCCCTCAGGACAAAATCAAGCAGCGTAGGCCAGGACGTAGCTCAGGGCACAGTGCCTGCCTGGCGAGCACAAGGTCCTGAGTTCAATTCCTGGAACAAAACAAAGTATAACCCATTAACAGAAAGAAAGAAAGAAAGAGGGAAATAGAAAAGAGAGACAGACAGACAGAGTGTGTCCTAAAACAAGAGGCTGCCTCTGGTGCTTTCTGGTGTGTTCTTTATGTTTTTCTGTCCTTTCCTGCTGTCTACAATAAACACACACTGTGTTGGTAACATGAAAAATGAAGAAGCCTGGAATGCTCTCAGGATAAAGCAAAACCCCTGCCTCGCTTGCTGAGAGCTATTTTATTTAGAGATGTTTTATTTTGATTGTTTTTGTTATGTTGTGTTCTCTTTTTTGAGATAGGGTCTTCTTCTGTTCCCAGGCTGGCCTCAAACCTGGATGGACCCTCCTGCCTAGCCTCCCCAGTGAGCTACACAGGTGAAAGCCGGCCTGAGCCATGTGTGAGCCTCAGCGGGGGGAGCGGGGGCGGGGGGGGGACATCCTTTTGCTGTCTGTCGGGGATCACAAGGCGATAATTCTGTGTGTTCTTGAAGAGAATGATTTCCCTCCGGCAGTGGCCCTTCGGTGGCCCGGATGCTTTCCCCACTGCAGGTGGGGCCCTGCCGCCTATCTGGGTCCCCAAGTCCTGCTGCACCCGCTGTTCTCAGGCCCCAAGGCCTCTGCTCAAAGCAGATAAGCCGCAGCCAGCAGGGAATATCTGCTTTGAATTTGTCTTTCAAAACCAGCTCTCTGGTCTGCATGTTACAGAGAACAACACACTCCGAATGGCTCAAGATGGCCAGTGAGCCAGGCCTAGTGTGCATGGGTTCACCCCAGCATTTGGGAGGCTGAGGCAGGAGGATTGCCATGAGTTTCAGGCCAGTCTGAGCTACTCAGGAGACCCTGTCTCAAAACAAAATAAAAGCCATCGGCAGAGAGCCACCATGCCCAGTCCTCACCCTGGAGAGGCAGAATGGGCAACTCGCTGGTGTGGAGTCCAGGCTGGTCCCAGGTGGGGAGGCTGAGGCAGGAATGAGCATGGATGTGGATGGTGTGGGTGGGGGCTATGATTTCCAGTGCCCAGGTCTGAGCAGGGACTCTGAGGGAGGAAGCCACGGCCTAGGGTCCCCAGCCCC